ATTATTACTGATAAGTTCATAAATTACTCAAGAATTATTACTGATAAGTTCATTTGAATGAATGTACTTATGAATGCATGGTCTAATATGGATGTGGTCATGGTTGCTATATTGAGCGCATAGATGTAATCTACTTGAGCTGAGAAAGCTATTTCAGCAGTGTGAAAAGAGCTGGCATGATATCTTAAAGGAAGTAATGAGGTCAAGGGTTCAGTCTTTATTTTAGTTGATTAGAAATAAATAAATATGTAAACAAATAAATATAATTTAGTTAAAAAAGGCTTGGATATATTTGAAGTGAATTTCTTATCAAGTTAAAATACCCCTCAAACACTTTTTCTTATTTGTCAATTACCTAAAACACTTTGTATTTTTTTAAAAGGGGATAACTTGCATTAGAAATTCAAACATAAAATGAGTCGTCAGCAGCACGACAAGAAAAGACGAGGGAGGATAAAATTTAATGCAACAAGGAAAACCAAGTAATAAATTCCTTCACTCCCCCAATAGAAACAGAAAAAAAAAATGAATATCAATCAACTCTGAAATGCCTTAATCCAAAGCTGTTTGGTGTGGTTGCAGGAATTCTGTTTGACAATCCTACTGCTAAAATTAGATGCATTATCAGTGCCTCACCCTATGACCTTCATGCTATTCTTCTCTCCCCGCATTACACTCTAAAATCTTGTTACTCTTTTTTCTTTTTCTTGTTTTGGTAAGAAAGTAAGAATGTAAAAATGGATCAATGAATACAAAAATTATTGTGTAATGACACCCTTAAATCATATTACTCCTTACTGGTGCAGCGTCAGAAGGTTGTTAAACATTGCAAGACAATTATTGCATGTTGTTCAACATTCCAAAACAGCCTCAACGTACTTGCAGGTTTTTTCTTGGGCATCCTCCTACAGCTTTAGGAGTGTCACTCTTTTGTAAAGGTCCCATGCTCTCATAGTGTAATGTTTATACTGTTTTTGTTTTGTTTACACTTTGTATATCTGCCAATGTGCTCAAAATTTTTGGCTTCTTTGTATAAGGCTAGGCTATTCACCAAATAAAGAAAACCAAGAAAAGGTCTTGGAGGTAAGAGCCTGATAAATTAATGAAATCTCAATAGGGTAGGCCCAACTTGGACATCCTTCAGTGTCAGTTGTGTATTAAGTTTATATCTCATACTTAAAACAGAAGATTGACTTATTTTTGTTTTCCTTGGCCTATGCAATATTCTTTTAAATCCGATTTAATCATTGCCCAAAATTCGTCTTTGTTCTTGCTAAACTGATATGTTGAATTTAAGATCTTTGACTCTTTAGTGCTGAGCACATCACATTTCTTTTATTTCAGGGTTTCTCTTGCTAATGGAGGTTATCTTGTGATTGAGCAAACTGAGGCATTAGTCTCTATTGATGTGAATGGTGGACAATGCATGCTTGGTCAGGGAACATCACAAGAGAAAGCCATTCTCGATGTCAACCTTGCCGCTGCCAAACAAGTATGTAGAAACTAAATTATATCACCCATTTATATTTGTGGTAAATTTTCCATTGATTAAGAATATGGGGTTGTTTAACAAAACAAAGTAGCTTATTTAATAGTGCTGAAAATCTTAAGTAACTGAATTTTGAAATTAAAAAATTTTAATACTTGAATCTAATTCTAAAACTACCTTCCACTGACCATATTAAATATTTTGTAGTAAAAAAAAAATGTTAGGTTTCCCCACTTAGATCATTTTAAGCAGATTTTGCCAATTTGAGTACTAGCTTATTCATGTAAATCAACCCATTTAGTAAAAGTTCCAGTGAATATTTCAGAAGTAAGATGCTTATGGGGTATTCAAACAATTTTTATGAGATTTTGAATAGTTGGAAATGAGGACTTTGTTGTGAATCTTGATGTTTCTATGGAAACTGTGTTTTAGATTTTCTCACCATATTGGAGAATAGAACACACCAATCCTTGAAAGGACACCATACCACACTGACAGCTTCGTTCAGCCATGTTTTATTTCATTACTTTAGGCTGCTGCTGTTACTATCATCCTTGTCATGGAGTAATTCTATGAATAGATTTGTAGTTTTTTGTGGTGCTTGTGGGTCACTCAAATGATTCACTAACAAAATTAACTTTTTCAGATTGCTAGAGAATTACGGCTGAGAGATATTGGTGGCATTATTGTGGTAGATTTCATTGATATGGTGGATGATGGTAAGAAATCTCTCTCTCTCTCTCTCTCTCTCTCTCTCTCTCAATATTGCTAAATGCCTGCTGCTTCAACGTATGGTTTTTCTTCGATCATGATGTGTAACATTAACATATACACATAAAAAGGAAAATTGATATTCCTTGTTTTGATTTTCCTGGTTTACAGTGGAACTGGGTTCCAATTACCATTTTTCTGGATATAATTCTATTTTCCATCTGTGTATTCTGTGCCTTCTAAATTCTAATTTTTATAATTAAAGAAATGGGTATTGAAATAAACATAAAGGAAACTAAAATTTAGGTTCAAGTAGGTTTTGTGTGTTAATTTGTTCTTCTGACACCAATCTCATCTTCCAGTGAATAAGAGACTGGTATATGAAGAAGTTAAAAAGGCTGTGGAGAGAGATCGATCAACTGTGAAAGTCTCTGAATTGTCTAGGCATGGCCTTATGGAAATCACCAGAAAGAGGGTATGTTGTTTGTTTCTCAAAATACTTTCTCTTGGTGTTAATTTTCAGGTAGTTCTGAACACAGTAATATGAATATTTTCATTGCAAGATGTTGATTAAAGGTGGGTATGCATCTGTAGTTAGCTTTTGTAATATATCACCAAAGTGAAATGTATAACTGTTGTACCAAGATAGCTGACTACATAGCAACGTTTACCTTTCGTAACAAGCTGTTGCCACCACACTTGACAGGTTAGACCTAGCGTGACATTTATGATTAGTGAACCATGCAATTGCTGTCATGCTACTGGAAGAGTGGAAGCTTTGGAGACCTCATTTTCCAAAATCGAGCATGAAATTTGCCGGCTGCTTGTGAGTAATTTCTCTGGTTTCAAGGAATTTATCACTTCATTTGTTATATGACTTTGAAATATGAAGGTCAACAACTTATAAACTGTTGATTGATCATGATTGTTGTTGATGAAAGGGAACGTATTCTGAATTTACTGTTCTATTGCACTTTGAAAGGCATTTTTGTATTTGAAACTGTTAGAATTTACCATAAACCTACCACCACTACCACCTCACCTACTCCACTAAACCTAACCCACTACACCACTACCACCTCCACTTCACCTACTCTCCACCTACTCCCAAACACACTCCTATATAATAGGAATCCTTGTAATTGTAATTTACAGAACAATATAAATCAATCAATAATACAATTCTCTATTTCTCTTTATACATTAAATTTCTACATTGTGGGTGTATTATAGTAATTTATTTACTTGTTTTTGCTTGAGTTTTATCTTAATGATGACTTAAGCACTTCAATCCCTTAGAATCCTCCATTGTAGCGTCTGAAAAAGATTGTATGTCACATTTTTGTTTCTTCATTTCTTTGTCTTTTGATTATCTACAAACTTTGGCTATATCTAGTGGTTTTGCCTTTTATTTATTTATTTATTTTAAGTTTTGGCTATGCAGGTTGTGGTTGCAGTAGAGTATTAGTTCATTCTCAAGTTTTAAGAACACCTTTTTATGTCATAGTTCATGCTCATTTGAGAAGAATGCCTTTTATATAATCGGGTCTTGAATATTAACAATAATTCTGCAATTTTATCTGAATTCTCAAATTATTCAAAATGATTAAAAGCCCTTGTGTTTTAAATTATTATAAATTGTAAATTGTTATAGAACAAGAGCTAGGAACCTCACGTTTAAAAAATTCTTGACATATATTGCCTTTTTAAATCAAAAATTTGCTTTGCATGAATCCCGAAAGTGATATTTATCACTGTTGTTGCTGGTCTTGTCTCCTCTTTGGTTTGTTTAAGTTGTCTACCCCCATACTTTCACATTCCTGTCTCCTAGTTTCACATTCATGTTGTTACTGCATTTTTAACTTACTCCTTATCCTCCTTTTGTTGGGATTATTAGAGAAGGTCTAAGAGATTCTTGGAAATTCAAAAATTGAGGGAAAACAAGAAAGAGTATGACTTAAAAACAGCAATATCATTGCTCAAGCAAATGGCAAGCACAAAGTTTGTCGAAACAGCTGAAGCTCATTTCCGTCTCAACATTGACCCAAAATACAATGATCACCAGCTGAGGGCAACAGTGAGTTTTCCCTGCATTTGATTAATTGTAATGAGAAATATGGTAGCAATTTCATGGACTACAATTAGTTTCTGCCATTGTTCTAATTCTTTCATGATAGGTGAATTTACCCAGGGGAACTGGACTGACGGTAAGAGTGGCTGTTCTCACTCAAGGTAGCTACTATTTCTTTTTCTTGACTTCTTTAATAAGTAATGTTCTGTCAGGAAAATGCATCAAATGGGTGCAACCATGTACATAGGATAGGATGTAGATGTATATTAGCAAGCAAAACAAGCCTGTAGGCTGTAGACTCATTCCACCCAAATTCTAAACAGAAAAATCAATATGGAAGGAGGATTTTCCCTAATCCCTGCTAACCAAATATGGGGATCTCACATCAGCATGTTTTAATGCCAGATCAGGTAATTCCAATCCTTCGAAAGATTGCCTATGTTACTCCATCCAAATACAAGCATGGAGGAGCTGTTGGAAATTGCGTACCTAGGCTAGGCATAAAGGAATTTAAAATTTATTTTGATTCTCAATCCCCATGATTATATTTGTGATATATATGAAACATAGATACAAACATCCATAGAAATAGTTTGAACAATACCTCGAACACAAAATTCAATTCCTTGCTTGATTTTTGAGTTCACTCCAATTCAAAAGTAGTTCAAGCATCCGACCTCTAAAAGTCTTATAACAAAGGCATTGTCAAGCTCACAAGTATTCTAGAGAGACAATGAGAGGCAGATGTCAATCTCTGGAGTGCTAGCTCTCATATTTGAGGACCAAGTCTATCTTGTCCCACAAGGATTGATGATCTTCCTGATCATATAATAAAGATGTTTTTTTTTGTTTTTTGATAAGTACGTTACAATGAACAAGTTTTATCACAATTGACTCTTAATTGCAATAATCTCATTAATTAGCTCATGTTTTCAAAAAGCGGTGTTACGTAACGATTGCAGCCGTTATGTAATGGTTGCGGTGGTAAGCGCTACCTGTTACACCCGCTTTTGCGGTGTGACGGAAATTCACGTGTAACCAGGGTTTTGAAAAGCGGTTGCGGTCACCGTAACGGTGGCGGTGGTGCGGTTGCGGTTGTAAAGGCCGTAGCCTATGAAGCACGGGTACTCCAAAAATAGTGCCGTACACGCACCGGGTACTTACCGGGTGCGGGTACGCGTACCGGTACGGCTGCACGTGTACCGGGTACGGCAAAAAGTAGTCAGGTACGTTTGCCTCAGTCGGGTACGGCATGGGTACGCCTTTGGTGCGTTTTGGGTACGTCGGGGGCAGAAATCAAATTTTCTGGAAAATTGAGGGGTACCGCAGCAATATTAAGAAAAATTTTAAAAAGAAAAAAGAAAAAATGTATATACAAATGAAGTTTGTTTTGCCCTAATCTCATCACTTTTGCCCTAATCTCATCAGTCGAGCAACGCAGCACCAAGAGGAGACATCGAAGCAAAGAGGCGACTTCGACCCAGAGATCAGATCACCCTCGTCTTCGACTTCGACCCACGACATCGGGTACGACTTCTTCGCTGTGTCATCACCCTCATCTTCTCTCATCTTCTTCGTTTCTTCTTCTTCATCTCATTTTTTTTTTTGGCAGTGATCATCAAGCATCTATCATCTATTTTCGTCCCCTACATATCAGCCATACCTAGCAGCAACCAAGCAACTGGTCAGAATCTCTTCATCTTTATTTATTTTGTTTTTTTTCTTGTTTCTTCTTTCGTCTTCAGAGAGGTATAATCTGATGTTGATGTAGAACCAAAAAAAAATTAGAGCGGTATAGAACCAAGTTATTCAATCATATTTAGAACAAAAAAAAAAATTAGATCAAAAAAATTAATAAATTAGAACACAAAAATTAATAATCAATCATACTTACATAATGTTAATAATCAAAAATATTAATTAGAACAAAATTATCCCTCAACAGAAGAATGTTAATCAAAAAAATTAATTAGAAGTTTAAAATAAAGTTATTCCTCAACAGAATGTTAATAATCATAAATATTATTTTTAATAATCAAAAATATTATTTTTTATGCTTATAGGAAAATGAGTTCATCAAGCAGTTTAGGGTCATCTGCTGCAAGTGCTTCTGCTCCTTCCATTGATCAATCTGGAGATGAAAATGCTCCTCTTTGAGGCTATGTTACAAAATTAGTTAAAATGGGAGAAGGAGGAAGTGGTAATACAAAATTTAAGTGTAATTTTTGTAACATTGAGTACCGAGGGTCATATTCTAGAGTTAGAGCCCATTTGTTGCTACTTACTGGCCATGGAATTAGAGTGTGTGCAATTGTGAAGAACAAGAGTGATCTTCTTTCTGAAATTTGAAAGGTAGATCAAAAAGCTGAGAATCGGAAAAAATTGGCAAAGCCAAAAAATGTTCCTTTACCACCTCCATCTTCTCAAATTAGTGCTAGCCACGACAGTGTAGAAGACGTTGGAACATTTAGAATGGAAGGTTATGCACCAAGAAAGAGAAAGGCAATTGGGAGTAGTCCTTTAGATAGGGCATTCAATCAAAGTGCTAGAGAGCATTTACATTCTTTAATTGCTCGTATGTTCTATTTAGCCGGTTTGCCTTTCCATTTGGCTAGGAATCCATACTTTGTGGATGCTTTTCAATATGCTGCTGAGAATCAAATTGTTGGGTATGTCCCTCCTGGATATAATTTGTTGAGGACTACCTTACTTCAAAAAGAAAGGGCAAATATTGAAAGGTTATTGGAACCAACTAAAAAGTCATGGGATGAGAAGGGGTTGAGTATAGTATCTGATGGATGGACTGATGCACCAAGGAGGCCTCTCATTAATTTTATGGCAGCATGTAATGGTGGAGCTATGTTTATAAAAGCTGTTAATTGTGAGGGTGAGACCAAGGACAAGTATCATATTGCCCAATTAATTAGTGAAGTGATTGATGAAGTGGGTCCTAATAATGTAATTCAGGTAATTACTGATAATGCTCCAGTTTGTCGTGCAGCTGGATCAATTATTCAAGGTAATTATCCGAACATCTTTTGGACACCTTGTGTAGTGCACACTCTTAATCTTGCTCTTAAGAACATTTGTGGTGCGAAGGAAATTGGAGTTGCTGCATATGCTTACGATGATTGCCATTGGATCACTACTGTGATTGATGATGTAATGTTTGTGAAAAATTTCATCATGAATCATTCTATGAGACTAGCTATTTTTAATGAGTTTGTACCTTTGAAGCTACTTTCTGTTGCAGATACACGCTTTGCATCTGCAATTTTTATGCTAAAAAGGTTTAAACTTATATATCATGGTCTCCAAACAATGGTGATAAGTGACAAATGGGCTTCTTACAAGGAAGATGATGTTGGGAAAGCAGATGTTGTAAAGGAAAAGTTGTTGAATGATGTTTGGTGGGATAAGATTGAATATATACTCTCATTCACATTGCCTATTTATGAGATGCTTAGATTTTGTGACACAGATAAGCCACGTCTACATTTGGTTTATGAGATGTGGGATTCAATGATTGAACGGGTGAAGGCATCTATCTATAGGCGTGAAGGGAAGTCAGAAAATGAAGAGTCATCCTTTTACTCTGTAGTGCATCAAATATTAGTGAAAAGGTGGACAAAAAGTAGCACACCTCTTCATTGCCTTGCTCATTCCTTGAATCCAAGGTATAATTCACATTAGACTCATAGTTTATACTTTAATTTTTTTCATTGCATAATTTACTTATTATTTTTTTCTAATTATGAAATCTAGGTATTATAGTGGGATGTGGCTTCATGAAAATCCCATTCGTGTTCCTCCTCACAAAGATGTAGAAATTTCTGAGATGAGAATCAAGTGTTTTAAGAGATACTTTCCTGATTCAGATGAGAGAAGAGTTGTTAATACAGAGTATGCGAAGTTTTCAGGTTGTTTAGAAAGTTTTAGTGACTTTGACTCAATATGTGATAGAGGAGTAATGGAACCAGTGGTTTGGTGGTTGGCACATGGCTCTTCTGCACCTATGCTCCAATCCTTGGCAGTGAAATTACTTAGCCAACCATGTTCCTCATCATGTTGTGAAAGGAATTGGAGCACCTACTCTTTCATTCACTCTATGAGGAGGAATAAAATGACACCACAACGGTGCGAGGATTTGGTTTTTGTGCACTCCAATATTCGTCTCTTATCAAGGAGGAGTCAACTATACACAGAAGGAGAGACCAAGTTATGGGACGTTGGGGGAGATGCATTTGATTCATTGGAGGGTTCTGGTTTCCTTGAAATTGCAAATCTTTCACTTGATGAGCCAGAGATGGAAGCTATTTTATTCAATGATGAAGTTGATGGAAGTGAACTTTGAAGTGTCAAGTTTAGATATATAGGGCTTTCTTTTGTTTTTTTCCCTTTGTGTTATGGACTGAATTGGCCTTGTTTTTCTTTTGGTGTTGGTTGTTTTTCCTTTGCTTGGATTATGGACTGAATTGGTGTTGGTTATGTTGAATTGAAATATATTAATATTTGTCTTTTAGTTTTATAGTTCTCTTTCTAGTTTTGATATTTAATTTCAATTTGTAGGTTGGATCTTCTAACCATAATTATAAAAAATAAAAATAAATAAAAAAATATCGGCGTACCGCAGCCATACCCGTATCCTACTTTTTTGGGGTTTTGCCGTATCAGCGTACCCGCACTCATACCCGTACCGTACTCGTACCCGCACCTGTGCTTCCTACGCCGTAGCATAACGGTTGCAGTAACCGGAATCGTGATTTTTTTTTTTATTTTTTACACAATTTGAAAAAAACTTACCGGTACACATTTTTTTCCATGATCATATTTATTGGGTTTAAAATAAATATTGATCAATTTTTGTAAATTTTTAAGTATGATCCAATATATTTCATATTTTTAAATCACTATAAACTGAGTTTTTTACATTTTATTTTAATAATTAATGACTTTTATTATTATAGAAAAAAATCAATCACTAATTATGTAATATAAGATAAACAATGACAAAAGTAAGAGAATAAATAAGAGCCTAATATAGTATATTATATAATATATTTAACCCAGCCAAATAGATAATGACCACACTTATTATTATTATTATTATTATTATTATTATCAAACAATATATAGATAGACACACACAAACAAAATGGTTGAGTGATAGCAACTGAATAGAATAGCATAGGTCTTACAGTTTCAATAAATCAATAACATGTTCATCTTTCCTCCTCTCTCTCTCTCTCTCTTGCACCATCTTCTCTCTTTATCTTCCCTCTTCCCCCATTTTTAGCTTCTTTTTTTGTGTTTTTTTAGAAAGATGCAGTTTGGAACCGTTACGTAACGGTGCGTAACAGGCCGTTACGGTTGTTACGGTACCGTTACGACTACCACGGCAGCCGCTACAGCCGACACACCTGTGAATCTCAATCACACTACAAAAGCGGCCGTAATGGGTGGCGGTAACCACCACAACCGTTACGTAACGGTTGCGGCCGTTTTTTAAAACCTTGTGTGTAACTGTTGTTTTGGTGTTACGTAACGGGTGGTACCGTAATGGCTTGTTGCACACCGTTACAATATTCTAAATAGTTTCTTTTCCAAAAAAAAAAAAAAAATTTAAATAAAAAAAAAAAATGAAAAATCAAGAGATTCAAGTTCAAAAAAAAAATCTTGTATGAATTTTTTTTGTTTATAATTTATTTTTAAATTTTTATTTCATTACATTAGCATGTAAAATAAAAAAATATTTAAACAGTGGTAGTTATTTTTATAGTCATTTCATTTAATATTTAATTGTAAATAGTTTTATATTGTCACTATAATGTGTTGTCTAAAAAATGTCTTTAAAAAAAATCTCAAAAATAATTTTTGCTTATGGCACAATTTTTATTTTTATAATCATTTCATTTAATACTTAATTGTAAATAATTTTATTTAGTTAGCTATAAAGTGTTGTCTAAAAAAATATCTTTTAAAAAAAAATCATTAGCTCAAAAATAATTTTTGTTTATGGCACAATTTTATTTATTTATTTATTTATTATAATCATTTCATTTAATAATTGTAAATATTTTTTATTTATTTAGTTCAGGTATTTGTCAAAAATAATTTTATAGACATTTAAAATCAATTATTCTTAAAGTCATTAACTATTGAAATAAAATGTAAAAGGCTCTTTTTATAGTGATTTAAAAATATGAAATATATTGGATTATACTTAAAAACTAACAAAATTGATCAAAATCTATTTTAAACCCTAATAAATTTTATTTTGAAAAAAAATGTGTATCGGTAAGTTTTTTTCAAATTGTGTGAAAAATTAAAAAATTCACGATTCCGGTTATCGCAACCGTTACTCTACGGCCTTTACACTCCGCAATTGCAACTGTTACAGTGACTGCAACCGCTTTTCGAAACTCTTAATTATTTTAAATCCCTGATTAACACTTAATTTGGATTAACTCTTTTCATTCCATTATATTACGTGTTGTCCTTATTGTGTGTGAAATTTTAGGTTCAAACTTATCTGTGTAGTAGAAATAATATAAATTCTTGATATTTATTATGAACAAGGTTTGGAAAAGCGGTTGCGGTCGCCGTAACGGTGGCGGTGGCGCGGTTGCGGTTGCGGGGTGTAAAGGCCGTAGCGTAACGGTTGCAGTAACCAGAACCGTGAATTTTTTTATTTTTTACCCAATTTGAAAAAAACTTATCGGTACGCATATTTTTTTCCATGATCATATTTATTGGGTTTAAAATAAATATTGATCAATTTTGTAAATTTTTAAGTATGATCCAATATATTTCATATTTTTAAATCACTATAAACTGAGTTTTTTACATTTTATTTTAATAATTAATGACTTTCTATTATACAAAAAATCAATCACTAACTATAATATATAAGATAAATAATGACAAAAGTAAGAGAATAAATAAGAGCCTAAATATATATATATATATACATATTTTAACCAAGCCAAATAGATAATGACCACAATTATTATTATTATCATCATCATCATCATCATCATCATCATCAAACAATATATAGATAGACACACACAAACAAAATAGTTGAGTGATAGCGGCTGAATAGAATAGCATAGGTCTTATAGTTTCAACAAATCAATAACATGTTCTTCATCTTTCCACTTCTCTCTCTCTATCTCTTGCTCCTCCATCTTCTCTCTTTATCTTCCCTCTTCTCTCTATCCCTCTTCCCCCATTTTTAGCTTCTTTTTTTCGAAAGATGCAGTTTGGAACCGTTACGTAACGGTGCGTAACAGGCCGTTACAGTTGTTACGGTACCGTTACAAATGCTACGGCAGCCGCTACGGCCGACACATCTGTGAATCTCAATCACACCACAAAAGCGGCCGTAATGGGTGGCGGTAACTACCACAACCGTTACGTAACGGTTGCGGCCTCTTTTTAAAACCTTGATTATGAATTTTAAATGTCCCATGGAACATTTCCTTGGACCTCCACAAATCTTGAGTGACACCAAGCAACATATTATGAACATACCAGATATTATGAATATACAAAATGAGCCCTTCTAACAGTTAACATACATTCAATCCTTTCATCGTATAATGTCTCAAAAGGTCATTAGGACATTGAGGTTTGTCAAACCCCTAACTCCAGTGGCGGAGGGAAGTGAGGACCAAGGGGGTCACATGCCCCCCCTGGATTTTGGGTTTTTTTTTTCTGCAAATATAAAGAAACTATTTTAAATAAAAAAAATTACAAAAATATTATTAGAGTGAAATGTCAATGACATTTTAAAAATTATAAGAATAATAATGGTTATTTTGATTGAAAATGAAAAGACTATTATATACTATATTATCTATGAAAATTGTTGAATGTAACGGTGATGTCATTATTGTTGACATGCAAGTATAAGTAATCCTACTATAAAGATATGAAATTTATTAGATTGTTAGTTACATTTGACATGTGAGGTTCACTCTCTATATGTTTATTTACTATAAGTTGGTGATATCACATACTAATGATGACGTGTTATTCCCATTATGTTGGATTTTTAATCACATTTTGTATAAAAAAAAAAAATTTATTATTATATAATTTATTTTAAGACATATCTATATTTTTTTATATTGTCCATGATACACTAGTTATAAATAATATTATTTTTTTTTATGTTTCTCAAAATCAATCGTAAAAACTTGCATGAATATTTTTGTAAAATTTTTTGATATTGTAATTAATAAGTGCCCCCTCTAATTTGATTTTCTGGCTCCGCCACTACCTAACTCAATCATGTGTCTAATCTAATGCATATCAACTTGTATTGGTGAAATTAGAAACTCCTTTCTAATTATTACTTTGCCTTGACCAAGGTATTTCTCAAGTTATATCCTAAAAGATCACATATATTCTATCTCTTTACTTGAGAGTGATGGATCAATTCTTAAACATTCACATGCCTCCATAGGTGTCTCACTAAGTCCTATCTATAGAGGTTCATATTTCATTGTTAGAATATAAACATATTGTATTGTCAAAACTTAGCAATGCACACAGGATAATCATGATGTTCTCAGTCTAAGGATTATACACACAACTATAACATATAAGCGAACTAGATATGTTCCTGGGTGGTCACTTGTTCTCTAACAAACACACACATGGTTGTTTGATTGTTCCACACCAGTGACTTGAGACTACTCCCTCTTCCAATTGAACAAGCATAACACAGTGCTAGTCCATTTGGCTTGGATTACTAACATCCAAATAATAATTGTATAACTAGGAACTTTTAAGAATAAAATACTGAGAAGTACATGTCTCTCAATTTTAACTCTTAAGACATAAATTCTGAACTTTAATTGTATGGACTTACAATGTAAACAATAGCACAAAAAAGGTAGTATGATAAAAATAAAACTTTTCCCTTTATTAATTAAATGACAAGGGGCTTTTAGGGCATACCACTAACAGGAGCCCACCATCCATCAATGTTTAACTCTTATCCTCACTTGACGACCACTCTGAGTTGTTAGCTCTAGTAAGGTATATCCTAAATAATGAAAACAAAAGAAGCGTTTAGGCTTTAGCCAATAGGTTATTAACTTTTTCTGGATTTCCTTTGAACACTTTCCCATTTCACCAAATTATCAAGATCATAATTCTTCCCAATGTTGATATCTATCAAGGGAAAAAGAGAAGGGACACTTTAGGAAGGCCTTGGTCGATTATTGGCTAGGAATATTACTAGAATAGAATCGAACCTTAAAATTTTTCACGCTTTGTGACTTCCTGCCACAAAATAAGCCTTCTACCCCTTTGGTATTTACTAGAGTGGGATAAAGCATG